TCCAAGCCCAATAATTGAGACTGAACGTGTGTGATTAATAATTTAACATTGATGACGACGACTTGGCAACTCATGGAGTGGCTTTGTCGATGGGGAGTATTTTTGAATTTTTTTATAAATTATTTTTAATTAACTCATCAAAACTAAGATGAGTTAGTTATAATAATAAAATTATTTTAAAAATAAATTATTTTTTAATTTTATCCTCACTTTAAAAAAAAGAGTGATTTATTGTTTGAGAAAAGTTTTCTTAAAGATTAAAATGTTATACTTTTTTTTAAAACTTTTTGGAGGGTGCTTTTAAAATTGTATATTAAAAACTATAAAAATTAAGCAAAAATAATTTATACAAAGGATCAAGAAAATCTTTTAAAAGGTAACTTATTAAAAAAAGGATAGGGAGTAGTTTCCATCTTGGCATTCTCCGACCAACCACTTTTCTCTTTCCTTCCCCACGTCCTTCAATGATAAGAACAACACAATACGTATCACCCATTCCCTCGGGATCACTTTTTTTTTTTTTTAAATCTCCGCGCCCATTTTTATATTTTTTATCACCATATTTAACTTATTGTTTTTATTGCTAATTAATTACAATAAAATGGGTTGCTTTCTTAATCCATAACATGGAACTTCGTATTCAATAATATAGGTTTTGGACTTCTTTTTGTGAGACAAGTGATGCAGTTGCATATGATGTTTCTTTCAGAAAATTATATGTACATATACATGTGTATATGTTGGATTCAAACTGTGATAGCTGCTCCGTCATATCCGAGAGACTGTACTTACATACGATCGCTTTCACTTCCAATTTATTTCAACCACATATAACATTGAAGGTTAGAATGCACCAAACGGCCGTCTACGGCTTGATCTGATCAGTTAGTTTATAAAGAGGTTAAATTTAAAGCATATTTAGAACGTATTTAGATGTGTTTATATACTTCTTCTATATCAAATTATAAGATAATTTGTAAATAATTTTTATCTCAAAATATAAGACAATATGAAAAAAATAAAGTTCATCAATGATATTTTTTTAATATTATACTTTATGTAAAAAAAATTAAAATGATATTGTAGCATAATAATTAAATATGTATAAGGGGTATTTTTAAAAGTTTATAATTTTATTATAAAAAAGTAAGTATGTAAAGTATCATTATTATATTTTATTAGTATACATAATCTTATTTTAAATTATCTTATAATATGTGGCGTGGAGAGTATTTTATATATACATGTATTATATTATATTAAAATTTATATATATTCATATATTATATTATAATTAAATAGGTTTTAAGCTTTTGAGCTTTTAAGCTAGCCTATGTAACTTTTGTTAACTTTTTTTATAAATGATAATTTATTATATTTTTATTCTTTTAATTTAAATTTTAAATATTTATTTAAGATTAATTGAATTTAATTGAATATTATTTAATTTTATTAGTCAATTTTAAATTTTTAGATTTTAACTATCAAAATATTTGATTTTAAAATTTAAATAATATTTTTGATATTTTTGCACAATTTTTATTTAATTTTTATTTTATTTGTGTAGATTTTTTAAATCTAATTTAAAAGATATCAATGAATATTATTTTGAATAAGAAAAGTATGGACATATTTAAAGATCAAATCAAGAATTAAATTTCAAAATTTTTATTTTGAGTTTTTAGTATAGTTTTTAATTAGGGTTATTTAGGGTAGTTTTATTATTGTATTAAATTATTAAGTTAGAGAGAGAGAGAGAGAGAGGGTTGAGTCGCATATGCACGCCTTTTTGATTGAAAATTGAGGAAAATAAATTTAGAAGGCACGGAGGCTACGAACGATGAGTGCGGCGCCGATTTCATTTTTAGAATTTTGTTTTGGTCAAAATTTCATTTTTAGTAATTCTTATTTACAAGTCTCAAGCATGAAGAGTTAAATTTTTGACGTAATTAATTATAAATCATGATGTTAAATTTTAATTAGAATCTTCAATATTTAGGAAAGGTTTTATTTTAGCCTTATTTTAATTTGCTTTTCTTCTCTCTACATTTGAACTTTGTGATTTAATTGTAATTACTTATTAGAGTAACTTTATTGCATGATTTTCAATTAGTACAGTAATATAAGAGCAATTTGGTTTGGTTTGAATAATTATTCATGCTTTGATTCTAATGTGGTTAACATAAAATAATTGTTAAGTTGTGAGTTAATAAAGTTTTTAATTAATTTATAACTTAATTTTTCGTTTAATTTTCGAATGATAATTTAAAAAATACATAATAAAATTAGAATAATAAAATTAAATAAAATTAATTTATTTTGTGGACAAGTAATATTAAGTTTATGTGATTGAGTTATAATTGATTGTTCTGTTTGTACTTAAAAATTTTCTCACTTGAATTTTCTTTATTTATTTAATTTTAATTTAGCATTTAAAATTAATTTTATCATAAAATAATTTTTCCATTATTTAAATTTTTATAATCCTAATTTAAGTGGTTAATTTATTGACTTTTAAGGAGATGACTTAGGTTATATTTTACAGTAAAATTTAATTTTTATTAATTTTAGTATTATTTGATGATAGTGTCAAATATTTTAAAATCTATTTAAAGACTTTGAAACTTGAATTTAAAAACTTTTTTAAAGGCCTACATTTGAAGTAGGCCTTTAAAAAACATTTCAAACTAAACCAAGTAAAAATTATGAAAGACAACACTTATATTGGCATAACCTAATTTTTGGTCAACTTAATTTCATGCTCGAATAAAACTAAACAAAACAAAATGTGGGAATTTTCGTACATTTACATGCATGTTCGCTATGCATAGGCTGCCCAGGATTAAAGCAAGAGTCTAAATCAAAACAATTGACCACTGCACATATTCATCCCTCCTCACTAACATATTATTGTTGCCATAATTACCATAACCTTTCTCAAATTTTGTCACGCTTTCTTTAAAAGTTAAAATATATACACATATGTATTATTGATTTATCGTTATTTTTTTTTCTTAAATCTCATTTGAATACAAGAGTTATATATACCCACATGTTAAGTTAGTTCTTTTAATTTATAATAACGCAAGAACGGATGCTCAACCAATAAGATGAATTATAGTGGTAAGAGCAAATAAATAGCATTCCATCTTATTCTATTTATAAGACCCTATGCATTAATTTTTATTGTTCATAAATATTCTTCTATTGAAGTGATTATATTTGATATGCAGTTAGATATTGAAGATGAGCACATCTTCTAGCAGAAATTCAAATATTGATTCGCCATATTGTGAGTCTATATGTTAATTTCTAATGGAAGATCTTTTACAAAATTTAATGAAACATGTGGGAGTCATTTTTAAAAAAGCATCTTATCTCTTTTATTCTTAACTTAAATAATGTATTTACTCTGATTAAGGTTGATTTTTAAGAGCTGTAAAAATTTTCATCATTTAATTAAATAATTTCCTTAATCTTGGGAAATTAGTTAACATTCTCATGTAAAAAGAGAGTGAGAGTGAGAATATGGCATCAAGGGTTCAAGTAATTATTAATAATTTAATAATTTAAAATTTGTACTGTATATGGATATTTAATGAGGATAGGCATGTTAGGAATATAATGGCCAAACAAGTAGCTAGAGGCATTGGATATTTGAAAGCTCACGAATTGTCCTTTGAAATGGAATTTCAAAAGTTTATGAGATGATGAAAATATTAAAAAGTTTGATGCAAGTAAAAGATATAGAAGATGTATAAATATTAGCGGAAATCAAAGTAGACGGAGGAACGAAATTAATGAAATGGTGGGCAACTAATGAAGAGAAGGGAGATTATGTTGACTGAACTCAGGGGGAAGATTATAGATAGTGTTCAAATTTGAGGTCAAGATTTTGTTTTTGATGAATATAAATGAACAACATTTGTGCATAAATATTCAGTTAGTGTGGGGATTGGGTAGCCTTCGGAACCAAAAGAAAAGAAAAGAAGAGAAAAAATTTGCATAGCAAGGACAATTGAGGAAGAAATAGAAAAAAGTGAGTATTAATAGTCTGAATTATTTTATGGCTCTATTTGGTTTAAAAGGAAGGAAAGAGAGGGGGAGGGGAGGAGAAGGGGGCATCCTTTCAAATTGAGAGAAAGTTTTGAAAGGGAGGAAAGGAGAATCTTACCAAATAAGAGGAGGGGAGGCGGTGTAGGGAAGAGGGATTTTTTAAAATTTTACTTCTCCTTCCCTCTCCCCTCCTCCAACCAAACAAGTTCTATGGATTAGAAATTTCCAAACAAATACGTTGATACACTTGCACATGAAACCTCCCTTAACAACCACAATCTCATTATTTATAATAAACCACTTATAACATGCAGGTCCACCTTGAACTCTGATTTGATTTGATTTTTGTAATCGGCTTTCTCAGTCTCCTTATATTAAAAAGAAAAAAGGAATTTCCAATTTTCTGTTTAGGGGCTTCCTCATCAGAAGTAAAAATAAATTCACTCTGCATTTTGTCATAATCTTCTTCAAAGTTCTTACTGTAATACATAGTTACAATCAATGTTTAATTATTATAATGAATCAACCAGAGCAGCCACTCCGCTTTTCCAGGTCAAACGTCATAAGCAGTAGGAGAGTTTGCTTCTTTTTACCTTTATGTAGCTCCTACATATTGTTATTATTTAATTATACTTGACACTGTTCTGGAGATTCCACATTTCGTATTCATATACTTAATACATTCTCTTTAGACATGTCAAATCCCCGTTATTCATTATTACGAGTATTGTGCCGATGTCATCACCATGCCCGTTTTTTAAGATTTTGACCCCTTCTTTAATTTAACCTTTAGTATAAGTCAAAACACCCCTCTTATTCTCCCACCTTAACAGGTTCATTGAATGCAGCCTCAAAATTGAACCCACTAATCTTTTAATTAAGAATTAGAACCCTGTCAAAACTCAAATACCAGTAAATGACAAAGATTACGAAAGGTACAAACAAATAAAATCACTCTAATAACTCAAATGCAAGGCTTGATGTCCGAGCGTTTCGTTTAAATATCGAACCACTCTCTCATCAAATTCCCTATGGCATTTGTACCGCTCCACAGCTCCAATCATCCTTAAATTTTCCGACCCGACCAGATATCTCTCGGACCCCTCTGACGAAAAGCGCTAGCAGCATGCGGGATCCATACGACGTTGCCGTTGAGGAAGGCGCAGCACCGTCCGCGACCGTCGGAGAGGCATCCTCGGGTGTCGTTTTGCTGGGAAAATACGAGCTCAGAAAGTTGTTAGGGGTGGGAGCTTTTGCCAAGGTGTATCACGCCACGAATGTGAATACGGGACAGAGCGTGGCCATCAAAGCCATCAGCAAGCGCCAAGCTTTCAGAGCAGGTCTCGTGGCGCACGTTGAGAGGGAAATATCTATCATGCGCCGCCTCCACCATCCCCACACCCTCAAGCTCTTCGAAGTCCTCGCTTCCAAGACTAAAATTTACTTCGTCCTCGAGTTCGCCAAGGGCGGCGAGCTCTTTCACAAGGTCGCTCAGGGCCGAATCTCCGAAGATCTCAGCCGCCTCTACTTCCATCAATTAATCTCCGCCGTCCGATACTGCCACTCCGTCGGCGTATTCCACCGCGACCTCAAGCTCGACAACCTTTTGATCGATGAAAATATGGACCTCAAGGTTTCGGACTTCGGATTGAGCGCTCTCAAGGACCACATCAGACCCGACGGGTTGCTGCACACCGTCTGCGGCACGCCGGCTTACGTGGCGCCGGAGATGCTCGCCAAAAAAGGCTACGACGGGGCGAAGGTCGACGTGTGGTCGTGCGGAGTCATCCTCTTCGCCCTCACCGCTGGTTACCTGCCCTTCAACGACCAGAGTCTGGCCGTCATGTACAGGAAAATCTACAGGGGGCAGTTTCGGTTCCCGAGATGGACGTCGCCGGAGCTCCGGAGCTTCCTGTCACGGCTGCTGGACAAGAACCCCGAGACGAGAATCACGGTGGACGAGATCATCCGAGATCCATGGTTCAGCAAAGGGTATCAGGAGGTGCGAGTGCAGCACAAGGAAGTGGTCGGGGAACAGGAGAGCCGAGGGAGGGGATTGAACGCTTTCGATTTGATATCGTTCTCGTCCGGGCTGGACATGTCGGGCATGTTTATGGAAGCTGGAGTTTCGTATGGCGTGGAACGCATTGTTTCGGGGGAGAAAGCGGGGAACATAATGGGGAAGGTGGAAGAAGTGGCGAAAGCAGAGGGGGTGATGGTGACGAAGAGGGAGAACGAGGAGGGAGCGAAGCTGGAGGGACAAAAGGGTAATTTAGTGGTGGTTGTGGGCATTTACCGGCTAACGGATAAACTGGTAGTGGTGGAGGCGGAAACAAGAGAAAGGAGAGTGGGAAATGGTGCAAGATTTTGGGAGGAGAAATTGAAGCCAGAGCTTCGTAGATTAGCATATAAACCGGAAGCAGGTAAGGCGAACAGCGTATGAGAATTACATGGCGTACGTTCATGTCCAATGTACGTGGAAGAAGGAATTACCTTTTAAAATGTGAATTCTTTATCTGTGGATTTGTTTCTGGATTCCTCGTGGAAGGAAATCGCATCCTCTATCTTGCTAGATCCAACCCAATTGATGCTGCGGGGACAAATTGAGAATACATGGTCCACCCGAGCAATGATTGGCGCACCCGCATTCACTATCATCAATATTATTAACCAATAACCAAGCCTTCATATTTGCTGCATCTATATTTGTTTGCACATCAGGACTATGAGAGGAAATGTTGATGCTTGGAAATGTTGATCAAGCATCAGGACTATACAATGGAACTCGACTGGGCATCTCTCATGTAGGGAAGAATGTTATTAAAGGGATTACCTTGAATGGATCTATAAAGAATAAGAAGGTTTTAATTCATATATTGGATATGAATTCATCAGAAAATAAATGGTCATTCTGTATGTATAAAAGAGAGTTCTCTGTAAGCCTTTCATTTGTAATGATTATCAACAAAAGTCAAATACAATCATTGTAATAACATATTGGATTACATTTTTCTAAATCAGTATTCACTTATGGTGAACTATATATTGCTTTGTCTAGAATTAAGAGCATGGATGGTTTGAAGATATTGCTTGAGGATGACCAGTTTGAAGGGGATGCACGACAACAAACATAGCGTACAAGAAAGTTTTTAGGAAGTGAATAAGATGTTGTTTTTCCACTGCATGCTTTATAAGATTAGAAATGAAAGAATTGGGTGAATGAATGTTACCGTGAATTGTGTTTTTGTTCATATCCTTTGTTTGTAATATATAACTTTTATCATTTCATGCAACACATGGGTAGTAAAAGCTAGTTATATAGAATAATAAAAAGGATATTGTTGAATTCAACTAATAAGAATGTAATTAACCAACATGTGTTCCATGTCAGCAATGGAAGTGTACTCAGAGATCTCAAACTCAAGTCCTAAGATGCAATAGTATTTGGCAGTAGAGTTTAAATCTAGATTAGTAAGAGCTGTTAGCTTTCAAACACAGGATAGTTTACTTAAAAAAAAAAAAGGAATGTAATCATTATTGCATATATTTCCCTTTGCATTCAATTAAAAAAGGAATCATTTTTTATATTTTAAATTAAACGGGCCCATATATTGAACAATAATGTCATCTTATCATATACTCTTTCTAGACCATGATATAAGTTGTTTTTAAAAAGATTTGCTCGGTCCAAAAGATAGGACATTGGGTATGTGTTATATTTTTTTTTTCAATTATACTCTTACTTTATTAAGTAATTAAAGAGGTTATTTTGAACAAGTTAAATGTTATATTTATTATACTCAACGACAAAGGTATTAAAATTTTTAGGAAATTAATCAACATTTTTTAAGAAATATAAATGAGTTAATAATGACTTATAATGTGCTTCGAAGAAAGTGTGTACATCAAATTATACTCTTGCCAGTCTAGCATATAAATCTCTTCTAACTAATAAACTCATCAAAACAAAGAAGAAATTGTTAAATTATTGATGTTATTTAAAAATAAAAGAAAATTTTTAATTTACTCATTAAATGTATTATATTTAAAAATACTTTCTCTTTTATGCAACTTTGTACTTTCTACTCATTGAAAATTGGAAAAGAGTAAAATTGAAAAAAAAATTAATGATCCACTTTGTGGTGCAAATTGCAAAGTAACTTATAAAATGAATGCTGATTTTTCCCCCCTAAAAGCTGATTTATATATGGAAATGGAGAGAGTATTATGTTTTCTTCTCACTGGAATCCAATTTGCATTCGGTGCTCATCAAGGTTAAGAGTAATCTTGGCTTTCTAAATTAATCTTTGCCATTCATTTGAATTAATTTTAAATATTTTTAATATTATATTTATTAATCTAAAAAATATAAAAAATTTTAAAATTTTAATAAACCTGTTCATTACACCAATATAATTAGTACATATTTAATCTAGCAGTTTAATTTAATATTAAATTTTTTTTATAATTTTAAAATTTGACTATCCAAATGGACTCTGGATAGTTCATATATAATTTAGATAATATAATTTAATATTATAAATTTATAAATTTTACAAATTAACCATTTAAATGTATTATAAATAGGTCAGATTTAATATTAAAATTTTTTAAATTTGTTATTTTAATAAATATAATATTAAAAATATTTAAAAATAATTTAAATGAATGAGAGGGATCAATTTAGGCTGAAATAGAGGATGATGATTGCTTCTGACTCTGATGAACATTTGATGCCGAATGCGGACGCCACTCGAATCTCGAAGTACAGGAAAAATTGCTAGTTCTGAAATATGAGTAGTTAATTTGAGTTTGATTAGAGCATTGCCTTATAATGGGACACAGGCAATAAGAGCATCTTAAGTAGACGCAGGATCACGATTCCGTGTTAAACTGAAAATACCACTAAAACGATAGGCACATGCAGTCGCAGAATAAGTAGTGATCCGAACAAACAACATATCTGGTGATGAAATAATATTTCATTCAGGCTTTCACATTGGCACCTTTACGCTGGTTGACTGTATGCTCTCTGTTATATTCGCCACATTTTCTTATAACGCCTTGAATCATCTGCTCTTCAATTTTATTTTTTTTAGATAATATAAAATTTCATTCTATTTAAAAATGTATAGAAGCTTAGTTTGGAATAAAAATTATTCTGGGTTTGAAAAACGAGTCCCACTATTAATGGTGGCTATAAATTTTATATGTATGTATGTGTGTATGTATTGAATGTCCATTTCAGCTCAATTGTTCATTTCTCTGCAGAAAAATGCTTGATTAGTTGATGAGAGAATTTTAATTGAAGGGCGTTTTATAATTTGTTTAGATACTGTCTAAATATTAACTTGAAATTATTAATGCTTTTATAATTTGTGATTTCTTATTTGGGTGAGGCTGACCATCCCATTTATCATTGCACATTGATTTTTGTATTTGTTAGGGTGTGTGGTTGTTCCTCTATGTGAGCTTCATTCATATATTCTGAAGTTTGACAAAGAGCTTGTACGTAGTACCAAACCAATTGAGAAAGCGAGGGAAATCAAGTTTAATTAGAGTTGATCAGCACAGTAAAAAGTAAGATAATGAGAATTAGTTTGAGTGGGAAGGAATGGCAGCTGTCAATTGGGCCTTATTAGTGAATCCGGAATTGGAATCAGCATCTTATTGTCTAAGAAACCACCCTCTCGTCTCATTTTTGACTTATATATATATATATATATATATCATATCACCCACCTAACGTCCGCTTATCATTGCTTCTGCTTAAAGCACATGCTTGCTGCCAAACCCACTTAGCTTTAATCTATGGTGCTGGCGTCCTTCACTAATTCTACAATTTCTAAAGTTTTCTTCCATCTTATTAAATTTTGTTCTTACGGCGCCATTCTTACATATCTGGCAAAGCTATGCTGAGGCTGCTTGAGTATGATGACAACGTATGCCCGCACAGCTCGTACAATTCAATGTTGTATCCATATCCCACCCTCATTCATTTGCCCTTGGCACTCTGGCCCTAGCCTCCTCACTTTTAATATGCATTAACAACATCCATCTTCATTCTTCTGCCATGCATTAACTAGCTCCATTCATCCTGCGCGACACGGACGGAATTTATATACAACGGGCTTTATTTCCATGGTAAATACCTTGATTGATAAAACAACAATTATGCCTCAATTTGCAGCTGAAATTGCAGCACGCCAATGACAGAGTTCATGCTCGCCAATGACAGTCTCATCCATGATTTTGGCCTTACAAGGAATGAGAAATGAGATTCGTCTCTGTGAGAATCTCATGACTCCCCCCTTGTTTTTGGTTAACGCCTCTCTACAAACATGGTCGAGTGGCGTGTTTGGAATTGTTTAATTTCCGTATTGATATTGAAAATAATTAAAAAAAAAACTGCAATATAATTCTTCTCAAATCTGGACTATGTAAAGCGGAAGAAGTTTAATAATTAAGCAAACTAAAACTGCCGACAGTGATAAGTCTCATTTATAATTTATTTATTTTTCATATAAGTGAAATAAATTAAAATGTATTAAAATATACTCTCTCCGCCGCCCCTATATATAATCACCACTCATGTTTAATACAATGCATGGTATGAATGGGGCATGTTGAGATTTTGTTTTCAAGCCATTTTAATAATCAAAGGTTTTACATATAAGCAGAATCAAACTTTAAATTATTGGAAACAAATATTGTTCCCCATCAAATAAAAAGTTTCAGAGCGCGAAATATTTTGTTGTGGCTGTCCAATGTGAACTGTTAGATGACTTTGAAAAAAAGGGAAAAAAAAAAAAAGGTCCGACCTGCCGGATTCGAACCAGCGACCTAAGGATGTCTGCTATCATTTCAACTACAGTCCTCCGCTCTACCAACTGAGCTAAGGTCGGATTGGTGATTGTTGTCATTAATTTTATATAATACATAAATTTTATGTTACCGAAATTTCTCCTACCAATAATTGATCTCACAGAGAGCTTCTGAACCGTTACAGATCAACCTCACGGAATCCAATTTTTACCACCCGAATTAACATGCGAAGCAGTAATTTTTTTGAATTGTTTCTTAGTCTTAGGATTTTCGCATGTATGAAATGACATTTTCGCGTTCAAAAACGTCGTTAAAGTGGTCTGGCACAACAAAACCAACAATAAATCGAAGTCTTGGTTCATCAACATGAAATTAATTTATAATGTTCCTAACCCCTATACTTTGTTAAGAAGTTAGTTGAGTACCCCCACTATTATTCTATCAACTAGATTAACCACGTAATTTATATGCTTCCTGCAGCCAAGAAAACATAATCAACAGTTGTAATATATAAATCAAAATCTGCATTTAAGGCCTTTTGCTTTATTTTATTTTGGAAAAATAATAGAGAGATTTTAAAAAAATTCATTCATTCAAGTTAGGTTTTAAATATCAAATTTTAAAAATTTATAACTCAATTTTCAACTTCATTGTAATAGATTTATAACTTGTATTTTAAATTTTATTGAGAAAACATTTTTTTATTTTTCAACCACATTAAAATTTTAAAAATTAATTATAAATTCATCACAATATAGTTGTAAAAGTGATAAATTAAGTTGTACATTTCTAAAGTTTGATATTTAAAACTTAACTTGAATTAATTGATATTTTTAAAAGTACTTTGTTATTCTCCATTTTATTTTCTCTGATCTCATATTGCGCTCTTTATGTAGAGTTGGTTCTGAGACAACTATCGTGCTCTCAGAATGACGAAATACTTGTATTATTATATTAGGTCGATACTTCAACAAGTACTAGAAGATATTGTACAAGAAGCACATGAAGTGGGTACAAGCGGTTTAACTTCCGACATAGATACAGCTGCCACAGGAGTAAAGCGTAATTCTGATACTGCTTGTAACTTTACAGAGTGATGGTAGTATCTATTTCCTTTCAAGGAAACTTCTTTTACTTTCATAATTAAGAGTCGGAAAGCAAGGGAATTTCTTTCATGTCTGCGGCTTCGGTATCAACTGTGAAAGCTTTGCAAGCATGTAATGCAGTGCATATATCAGTTCTTTCCAGGATCTTCTCTGCTTTGACAAGCATCATAGGTCCATACTCGAAAACCAGCCTCTTGCACTGTAATATATTTGGACCACCATTAGGGGAAAAAAAAAGTCAATTGATGAAACAGGTAAACTTAGTTGGGAAAATTGTGCACTCCATTTGTTTTACATATCAAGTCAGGAGGTATTTTTAGGCTTTGTCTGGCTAGGTTTCCTCCTGAAACGAAGTTAAGGGCACACTCTATTACACTTGCCTGATGCATATAACATTTTCATTGTATGAAAACTGGTTAGGAACTAAGGGTCCAACCATGACAATTTATTTAACCGCATAAAAATATGAGTTTCAATGAATGCAAGATAAAAAGGATAATGGGGAATTTGTCAGATTTTTCTTACCTTATGTGCATACTTCTCCATGGAATTGCACACCCTCAATAACGTCTCGATTATATCAAGCTGACAATTGAAACTAAATTTGTTAGTAGCTTATTTGACATAACATAATGATATCCAGTAGAGGTCATACTAACCTCAGTGTCAGGATCTTTCAACTTGACCAATAATTCTGAAACAGCATCTCTGCAAAACCCACAGCTATCTTCTTGGACTTGTGACGAAATCTTTGCAATTTGATGACATAGACTGACCTTCTTACAAAGTTCTCTAGGTTGAATTGAAGCTAGTTCTAAGAAAAAATGGGGAGCATAATGGTCCACCCAACTCAAGCACTGTACAAAAGCAGAAGAAACAGACGAGTAAACGTAAAGCCTGAGAACTCCTATTCGTTTATCCATTCATCCCCTAGAATCCTCTAGGGCTGACAGTAATATTCTCTTATATAACAAGGTTGTTCCAAAATGCACATCAGTACAATGTATGGTTGAACATAAGTTGGGCTATGTTATTCTGTATATGAAACGTTCCGTATGTAAAATTATAACGTTTAAAGCCCATCCATCCTTCATGGGAGCGAACGGCATGTTGGCAGAACATCAAAAGAGCATACCCAGAAATTATAACTAGATTTGCAACAGCTGTGAACAACTTCATCATCAAAATTTTATCTTAAAAAAAAAAAAAACTAAAACTTCAGCATCAAACAAAAAAATGACATATCCAAGAAAAGGTGACCAACCTGCTGCTCCAAAGAGTGCAGCTTGTGACATATGTGGTAAAGGATATCAATGATCTCATCCTGTGTCTTGTTTTTAGTCAGGAAATCAAGGGCCTTGGCAGAATATTCCTCACAAAGTGCACAGACATCTTGTTTCTTGTTTAGTTCTGCATTTTTCAATGTAGACAGGATAAATCACTTATGTCACAATCATGTACCAAACTATAAACAACATGCAATTGCTGCATGCAAAAATTGCATAGATCTGCAATTGCTTTTAAGTCAAACCACATGTGCACTCTGCCTCACTTGTTAAGGTGAAGGCTGAACACCACTAAAAATATGACTAGCAAAGATCATGTCACGACTAGAACTATTCAATGTCAATAGAATTTAGATGGTCTTAGATCATCTTTCGGCCAATCCCAGATGACTCATATGAGGAGGTTTGTGTTATAAGTTTTATTGGTTGGACTACAGTCCATCCCATCCTTTGGCCACTTGTCTTATTTCAGATTATCCTGCTACAAAGCCATATGTCAATAACTATAAACTATCAGCTAATTGGCATCAGTTTCGTTGAAATTATCCTATATTGGTGGGTAATATTTCAGATTAATAATCATTCATTACTTAAATTTTTCTGTTTTACCCAAGAAAATTAATTAGATAGTGAAAAAGAAAGGGAAGACACGCCTGCTATCACTCTATCCATCTCCTCAGGCAGTATAATTAAAATGAAGATGAGAATGATAAGACCTGATAATGTTACCAGAATAGTCAGATTTTGCTGTGTTATTTCTCCAAAGATCACGATTAGCCAATTCTCTTGAATCACAAGCCCAAGCAGCACTCAACATAATGAGAAATAAGAGTCCTGTTCCCTCCTCCATGTTGCTTTTATTTTAAAAAACCTATAAAACGATTGGGGTAAAGCTATAAATAAAGGAAAATTATTGTTGGACCAAAAAAAGGGGGGGGAATACACTGATTATCAGCAACAAAGAAGAAGAAGAAGGATCAGTGTTCATATATTTCTAGGATGCATGATGCATTTAGTGAATTGTAATGTACTTTGATACCTAAGAACTGAGTAAAACGTATCAAGATTTAGTGAGCCAATTTGATAGAACAAAGTTAATAATTAAACATTATTTAAGAGATTTGTGAAAATATAGTGTTGGTGTACACATTGAACTGTGCAAGAAACTGGAAGAGTAAAGACAATCATGCCTGGAAGCAAATAAGAAATGAAGGTGCCAGCTGGATCAGCCGGAAAATTTATTTGCATTGCATGCATGGTGAAATTGACTGGTGAAGGAGGAAAAGAAGACACGCAAGAGAGAAAATGTCCATCTTCTCTCTTATACTCTAATACCCCTTGCTCCAGATAGTGAAAATACCTCAAATTCAACCCTCAAAGGTGAACAAAGAGAACTGGTAAAACTGCAAAAAGCATCGAGTTCAAGATAGCATCCTAAAACCTATCTCTTTGTGAGCTTACCCAAAATAAAGTCAGTTCAAGATTGCCTGAGAACAATGAAACTATGTTATTCTGACACTAGCAGATCCACTAAAAACAAGTTAGAGGTAGCTCAATGATACTTTCAGTTCAGAAACGTAGAAACTCAACCAAGAAACAGAAATTTCTGTTCTTGTAGTATCAACAAGAGAAGTATTTGTTATCTCCGGTAGAAGGGGATCATGAGGCAAAAAAAAAAAAGGAGAAGACAAACCGCAGTAAAGCATAACGCGTGAGGCGGGGAGGAGGAGCGGGAAGAAGCTTTGTTTTTTTTTTTTTTTTGGGTCGACAAATAAATTAGAACGGCGATATAAGAGACAAAATGGATATGTTTTCGCAGTATTTGGAGGAAATCAATGGAAGGAGAAGAGGAAAAGATTACCTTTCGGGGATTTAAGGTCCAGGAAGGAGAGGAGCAGGCAGGGGAATGGAGACGAAGGAGCCCTCGATTGGGTTGGAGTGGGGAAGAAGGCACGTCACGGTTGTTTGATTCTATTATTAGTCGCTGCCGGGCTTGGATCGAGAGCGCAGATGCACACTAACAACTTCAGATTTTAGACGTTCAAATATTCAAAATTTTTTAAAAATATTTTTTTTATTTTTAAATTAATTTTAATTTTTAAATAATTTTAGTAGGCGTAAAATATTATCTTAATTTTAAAAGAATAAAATAAAAAATAATTTATCAACTTTGTATTTAAGTAACTCTGTTATTATTTTGTTGTATTATGTATAATTTATTCATGAATGTTTTCTTTACTTATAAATTAATGTTTTAGTTGTTTAAATATTACTCTTATCATAGTTATATATAAATATTTTTATACATTTTAATTAAATTATATTATTTTAATTATGATTAAGTTGATTTTAATTCAATCACAATTAGACTACTAACTTAAAATTATTATCCCGATTAGTTCAAAGTTTTTAATAACTTTTAGGTAAATTATACTTTTCATTTTTATGAATATAAAAAAATTTACCATCATTATATTATATAAAAAAATTATTTAATTATGAATAAAATATTTTTTTAAATTATTTTTCTTTAACTTTTTATATTATTTAACTCTTACATAAAAGAGATTTTTACTCTAATTTAATCTTAATTTTTAACCAAATCTAGCATAGACAATAATTAAGTAATTATTCAAGAATATTATTCTATTTATTATGTTTATCTAGTAGTAGAGTTGAAAATTCGTACATACCTAAATTTTATTTTTAAAATTATTTTAATTTTATTTTTACTTTAAAATTAATTATGTTAATTTATAAAAAATATAAAATTATTTTTTATATACAAATGATTTATAGGATTCAAAATTTTTTTTAACAAAAATTGGGTCTTAAAATATTACAATCAATATTAAAATATATTTTAAATATTATTTTGAGATATTTTATTGATTAAAAATAATAAAAATATGAAATATAACTATTTTTAATTTTTTTAAAAAATAACTACATTAAAACACTTATACATATAATATTTTGGTATAAAATAATATAAAACTTAAAAAATTAATTAATATTTATCATATTTTATATATTTTTTTAAAAATTTATTTTTTTATTCGTGTATTCAGGCTAAGCCCGAACATGATCGAGCTTGGCCTAAATTTTCTCGGGCCTATTCAGGCATCTCGAATAGGCCCGAACAATAAAAAAATAATATTTTTTTTGAGTTTAGTCCTAAATTTTTTGGGCGGGTTCGGGCTATATCCAAATTACCGACTCTATCATAACTTGCTAAATTTTCCCAGCAAAATCAAATCAAATTAAATCAATATCAGTATAAAATATAAATTCCAAATTAATTAAATTTCATTTAACAAATATTAAAATGGGAGAGAGTTATATTCTTCATAACTCACACTATAAATAACATGATCCAGCTCATAGTTGTTGAACTCTCAAGGTACTTTATGAGTTTAATATTTTTACGTTTTTAATTTATAAGATCGTGTCAATTCACTCATAAATTTAGACTAAATATAAACTCGATTAAACTTGTGAGTTTACCTTCAAGTTTACCATTTTTATATTTTTAATTTACAAAATTATGTCAACTAATTTATAAACTCAAACTAGATGTAAATTTAGTTAAACTTGTTAAGCTTATCAATTTTTTTTATGTGAGTAATTTAAGTATATACTATAAAGAATTCAGTTTATAAAAATTTTAAGATTTGGTTCAAAAAAAAAACTTGAAATGAAAAAATTGATATTAATAAAAAAGAAAATAAAAATACCAAACATAAATTCCCCTATTTTAAAATTTTTATGTCTTGTATATGATAATTTATCAATGTATATGGCTTTAATTTTAACAATTTATATTTTAAATATATTTAAATTAAATTACAATCATATTTTAATAGTTATTTGTTAAAAGAGGTAAATTTTTATGAATTTACATTCCTATTATGAGTTTAATTAAATTCATGAGTTTAACAACCTTGATTCAGCTAAAAAAAGTTCTAGCAAAATATTGTAGAAATTCGGTTTGGCCAAAAAGTAGTTTTCGTGTTTTTTTTTTAAGATTACTTTGGTTTGAATGTGTAAGATTCATGTTAAATGTAATTTTTTTGTTAAAAACTGTTAAAATATACTAATAAATTGGATTTAAATTTATGTTCTTTTTCAAAATAAAAATTATTATTCATAAAATAGAGAATAATTCTAAATTAATTACTTCCTCTGTTAAAAAATATAAGGCTTTTTTAATCTAATCTCACCCCAATAGAGTAATTACCTACTTTTAAAATAACTTTATATTTCTATATTTACCCCTATTAAACACTGTATAATAAATATAAAGTCATTGTTAGTATAGACACCTTTTTAAAAAAATAATATTACACCTCAAAAAATTAAAAATATTTTATATTTTTTAACATTCAACTCCTCAAAAAATACCTTATATTTTTAAATAGAGGGTGTATATCTTATTTTCAAAATATATACATTAATTAATAAAATTTCAAAAGTATGCAATTAGATTTTCTAATAAAAGACATAAAATCTTATATAATTGTAAGGGAAAATGATAATAAAATCTTTCAAATTATATAAATGACAACATGATCTCTATTTCACCAAAATTTTTAAGAATTTTTATGTTAATAAATTTTAAAATAAAAATATTATTTTACTTTTATTAAAAATAATAAGAATTAATCATAATTTTTATTTAAGAAATAATAATTTTTGTTCTGTAAATCATAAGAGTTGAACAAAAAATTACAAAGTATAATTTTTACTATTGAAAAATAAGTTTTCAAAATAAAAACTCCAATCACAACTTTTGTTTAAGAAATAATAACTTTTATTTAAAGAATATCAAAAATTAAATAAAAAATTATAACTTATTAATAAGGATAAAATAATCTTTTTAATTTAAAATTTATTGACAAAAGGCTCCAGAGACTTCAATGTAATTATAATATTTTTAAAAATTAAGTTATTATTTATATAATTTAAAAGGATTTTATTATCATTTTTTCTACTTGTAAAGTAAGTTAGATCTACAATTGGATCTTTAGTAATTTGATATTTATTTTTAAAAAATTATATATTAATATTTATTTGTTTAGTTTTTATATATGAAAGATCATGTGAGAACTGTATTAAATAAATGTGTGGGAGCTATAGTTAAAAATAGGCAGTATATTACAAGCTATAGTGAAAATGATCGGCATAAGACATGTAATGACATTACAAATTAAAATTGGATTATGTGTAAAAATGATATTCCCTCCATTAAAAAATATAATATATTTTTTTAGGAGTTGAATGTTAAAAATGTAAAGTATTTTTAATTTTTTGAGGTGTAATCATTACTCTTTTCTCAAAAGTGCCCTATATTTATTGTAAAATATTTAATAGGGATAAATATAAAAAGATAGGGTTAGTTTGAAAGTAAATAATTATTTTATTGAAAAATAAAATTTAGTTTAAAATAACTTATATTTTTAAACGAAAAGAGTAAATAAAAACTTATTTTCTATTGCACACCTCATAAACTTCTTTTAATCATTGTTTTTCTTTTCATAGGCATGAATATGCTTGATAAATAGTACTAAAATTTGGATTATTTTATTTTCTTAATTTAAAAACATTATTTCATGAAAAAAAATAATTTTTATCTATTTTTTATTATAATTATAATTTATAAATATTTTTATGACAAAAATTATAGTATATGATTCTTTACCAGAAAAAACTATAATACATGGTTCATTATAATACATGTTACATTTTAAAAAATTGTTTATATTTTAGTTATGCCTTGACTTTGTATAAATGATGGCATCACCAAGCTCTTGGCAAAAAAATTATTTAAAAATTATTTTTATTTATTTAATTTGTATAAGAGTAATACATTGCAAAATAAAAATTATTACTTAGATTTAAATTCACAGAAAAATAACACATTTTTAAACAAAATAATTTATTATTTATATTTTTAATATGCATGAGCATCACAAATTTTAAAATAAAATAAACCGTTATTTAAATTTGAATTTACATAACAAAAATAAATAATCTTTTTGAATTTTATATTTATATTTTTTTATCTTTTAAATATTAAGATATCCTATACATTGCACATAAAATAAATTTAGTTCTGTAATTATGAAGTGCTCTTTAAAGTATCCACTATCAAGGCCATGTATGCTTAGAAAAGTAAAATTTTTGGCTTTTATGTTGAAAAAATAAAGGTTAATAAGTATTATAAATTCTAAACTATTATATGAATAGCATCCTAGATAGTGAATTTTTGAAATATATAAAAATTCCCTTCAACTTCTATATTTTGAGTATCTAAAATCTTATTGTTAAGTTGAAGAAAATGGTTGTGCTTTTGTAATTGTGGAGCTCAGTAGTACGTTAATATGATACTCATCTTATAACCTTTAAAAATAACAATCATTTTCTTTAAATCAATGATAGGATTTCGGGTGCTCAGAATTTAGAAGTTTAAAGAAGTTTTTGCACATTTTTAAGAATTTAAGGTCTAGAATGTTATTTGTCCAATAATTTAGGGTTTGAGATAATCATTAACGAAAAAAGAAAAAGAAAAATTGAAGTACCATAATTGCATATCATTTTAGCTATTATAAAATTTATATCTCTATTAGCCAAAAAAAAAAGAAAAAAAAAGAAAAATAGCATGGACCTAAACAACTATTTTATTATAATAGAATTATTTTCAAGTGCATTGTGAATTAAAACTAAACAGATGGTACAATTTTTGTGTTACTATAAAACATTACAAATATCAAGTTTATATTTCTATAATCAAGGCTAGTTCGTATTAAAGACGTAAAAAACACTCAAAAATAGAAGAGAACAAGTAGACGATGAATAGCAAAATAATATCACATGTTAATTTAAAATCTTAATATTCAAGTTTTATAGTTATTAAAAACTAATTTTATGGAATGTGTTACTCTCATGTCAACTCATCTCCACTCACACCTCAACATAGCTTATAATAAGTTAATTCATACCAATCATATCAACAACTAGTTCGACATCTTTTAATTAGTTATTACATAAACCCCGACTTCAACCAAATAATTGACAAACAACAAACAATTAAGATACTAGCCAAGCAGGCACAACTATGTGGACTCGATAAAAGCTGCAATTTAAGTTTCAACGATATCACCTCAAATTCAGAGTTGGCTTCTTTTTCTTCTGTTTATTTCCCAACAGATGTGACAATCTAGCAAGCCCGAATTTCTTTCTCTTTGCACAAAACTGCTTACTGAAGTATGAATCATCCTTTTGTTTTCCAAGCATGTGACCTAGTGATCCTGCTTCAAACTCTTGTGAAAGAAGCAGCTTCCTGCTCAGTATTTCTCCTATTGATAAAATTGGCTTTGGAACATCCGGTTTGGCTTTATCACCCTCCAGTTCCAGTCCATTTACACCAACTAACAGAGAACCTCTTTGATGATGAGATGAAGGGTGAGAATTTTTGAACTTTGCCGGGTAACGTACAACAGAAGGCCTTCTTTCGTGACCCTTCCTTAAGGCCTCTTCAACTGCTAGCTTCCCTTTGGTTGCAGCCTCTACTCTCTCCATGGCTTCGTCTAAATCTTTCTTGCAGGTTTGAACTTCTTTTGCAGCCTCCTCCACCTTTTCAGGATCTCCATTTTTGATAAATTCGCTTCATCAGCTTGAAGCATGGCATCTGTAACTCTTCTTTTCGAGTTTTCCTCTGCTTCCAGAGCTTTAGATGTTAGAGCATTATACTCTTCAAATGAAAGAGTTACCACTTCAGAAGGGCCCTTGAGATTATTAGATAGTACATTAATTTCTGCTAACGAAGCAGATTCTGCAGCTCTAGCAGCTTCCTTCATCTTCCTAGCAGCAATCAACCTTAATTCAGCGGTTCTTATCATGCTTTTTGTCCTTTCAATCTCAGACATTGTCCACAAGACTTCTGATTTTGCAGCTTCTCCCATTCTTTTGAAATGTTCTGCCTCAGAACACAACCTGTGAAGCTCTTTTGTGATTTCTGAAGGATCATCTTTTGCAACTTGAAGTCGTAGTCTTGTCTGGCTCAACTCTTCCTCAAAAGAAGATAATTTTGAAGAATTGTGAGTTAACCTCTCACGAGTTCTCTCGAGTGAGGCTCTTTCCTTCTCTAGCTTCTTATTAAGCGATATAACAGAAGCTCGTACATCGGCTATATCATTTGTAGTTTTGGTTAAGTTCAGCTTGGCCTGCTTCAGCTCCATCAATATCAGACCTGGTTTAGATGAAGGGTAGGGACTAAAGCCATGGTTCAACGTGTCCAATTGATTCACTTGGTTCTCCTTATCTTCTTTGCTCCTCAAATTGGCTTCACATTCTTCCTTCTGCAGCTTTGACTTTAAATCCTCAACGAGCCTTTTGGTGCTTTCAAGTTCTTTCAAGACATCCAGAGTTTCCTTTTCTTTCAGGATCAGTTCTTTCTCCAATACTGTTGCCTCCTCCTCTAGTTTTCCAGCGTCATGCTCTGGTGTTTCCTGCTGCTAAAAATAATACACAGTAATCAAGATCTTAACCAATTCATAATTCATACAGAAGGCCATTGATGTAGCTGTAGCTAGGAAAACAGAATACTAACATACAAAATATATTCATGCCTCAGGACTGCCCGAAATACCTAGAAATTCAGGGCATACACAGTAAAAATTAAGCCTTTGTTGTTTTCACAGTCAACTGTTGCGTTTTGGTGTCAACAATGTTCAGAGAGATTGGGAAAAAAATTTGGAAGATTTCGTTACCATTCTCGATTATTATGCTTTAGATTAGATTTCGGATACGTATTTCCTTTCACTAAAAAAATTTGTTCAGTACTGAAGTGAAGAATATTGAAATTAGTAAAGACTTATCTAAAAGGAAAACACAAAAAAATAAAAATAAATGCAGATCTCTCTATACAAGGACGCTCTCATGTACATAGAATTCATCACTATAGTTTTTCAGATCCGAACCTGTCTATTAGTCATGATAATGGGAGTGACAAATTACAGGAATTGATAATTGGTAATAGTAAATTACCGTTGGACTGAAATATCACAAAAGCTGTCACTAAACACCATTCAGCACAAAAAGAACAGACCCAAAAAAAAAAAAAAAACAGAAAAGAAAAGCGGGAGAGAATAAGCAAACATTATCTACAAAACTTTGAGCATAATAGAGTCGTAATAAGCGCACATTGCGAGAGACCAACATTCACTGACCAATTCTTTCTTTTTGACAGGAAATCTTAAAGGCTTTATTTTTTTTATTCCAGATGAGACAAAAAATAATAAAATTTGTCCTATTGTAAGTTGTAGCAAGTGAGAAGGTATTATAAAAAGAATCAGAAACCATAAATATCAAAGGCGAAGCCTGTAAGAGAGAGAGAGAGTTACATCAAGAGTGGACAGATTATCGCGGGTGGATTTCCAGAAGCCAAGACCCTCAAATCGGGTCACGGCCTCTTTCACGGATTCAAACGGAGCAGAAGTATCAATCTGCACTCTCAAAATGCGCCCCTCCTTCAGCGAAGGCGGTACGTCTGGGACCGTTTCAGAACCCAAATCGGAGCTGTCTGCTTCCATCCTCGCGCCAAATAGAAAAGCTTGGATTCAATTCAACGCCTCAGAAGATAAAATCCCATCACTTCCAGAAATTGAGAAACGAGAAACAAAGGATGTGGCAGCGTATGTTAGGTGATGAAGCACGCAAAGGCTCACTGGTCTTATCTGAGCTATGCCAGAGGAGAAGGAAAGAAAAGGTGTGAAGAGAGAGGAGAGGAAGATTGGAGGGGGAAGTTACTTGAATGGCCTTGGTTTTTAGCACATCACGCATGAAGTTAATCGTTTTGGGCTTTGGCTCCGCGAGAGGAGGAAATAGGAGCCGTTGGAGAGAAAATGGGAAAAGAGCAATGAGTTGGGACCCCAGATGCCCTTTCCCAACGGTAACAAACAGATCCCTTTACGACATCGTATCGTCAGTTTTATTTTGAGGAACCAACGGATAACGCCCTCTGTGCCTCTACATTCTTTGAATCTTTTTCTTTTATTTTTATTGAACAGCGAGTTAAGCGTACAACTCAAGGGGCCCGGACAAAACTGTAAGTTGTTGTGGTTACTCATTAATACCGTGCTCATTGCCTTTATGGAGTGATCTGGCTGTTCATTATCTCTCAAATAATCTCTGTCGTTAATTTAAAATTATTTTTAAATAATTTTATATTATATTTATATAAAAAATATAATATTAAATATAAATTGTCTAGAATATATCTAAATGGTCAATTATTTAAAATTATAAAATTTTTAATATTAAATTAAACTTTTTAAATTATATTTTATATTGTTTAGAGTACATCTGGATAATTAATTTATAAAAATTATTAAAAAATTAATATTAAATTAAGCCATTCAAATTAAATTTATATCAGCCAGATTAGTGATAAATAAATTTATTAAAAATTTATATTTTTTCACATATATTTATATAAAAAGTTTAAATTTAAACTATCCAAATCGAGTAATGAATATCAAGATATTTATCTTCTAATAAACATAAAAAAAATTCATATTTAATATTATAATATTCATATATTTTTATTTTAAAAAATATGATATAAAAATATTTTAAAAAATATATTTAGGTGATGCGCACTCCGTGCACCGTTTTCCGGTTGTTGTTGGGGAAACAGAGTTGTCACTTCTTTAAGTTTGGTAAAATTCCAGAGCTTTTATGAGGTCTTGGATCTCGTAGCTGTTGACAGAATATTCCAAATAGTAAGCATTTTTAAAAGAAAAACGTTAGAGTGAATTGTTCAGTATTTGCACTTTGATATGGATGATTGATTATCATATTTACATAGGTTCTAGTATGATGAGAGCTGCTTTTTGTATTTGTCTAAAGGTGAAATTATCTTAGGGTCAGCATCAAAATCTATCTACTTTTAATTGATCAATGAAATAGATTAATTGAGATGTTGCAAATTAACCTAAACACTGGTGACAAGCACAACACCAAGAGACAAAAAGGTATGGGTTGGGGGAAGAAAGGGAAAACAACAGAGCAACCTTTTTTTTTTGGGGGGGGGGGGGATGCAGAACAGAGCAGCATTTTTAAACAAGCAAGGCTGTAAAAGAAGCTCCACAAGGCAACATCTCCAAATTCATGATGCGTAAATTGTAATAGCGACATCATCGTCGTCGTCGTCGTCCCCACAACCATGTCATAAGTGTTTGCAGAGATAGGGGAACTAGCAAAGGTTACAGCCCTCTAATTTCTTATTTTTTTAATAAAATGTAAGAGTTATATATATTTAGTTTTACCAAAACATATCTTGTACTTCCTTTATTTAAAAATATAAGATATTTTTTAAGGAGTTAAATATTAAAAAATATAAACTTTTAATCTTTTGAGATATAATTATTATCTTTTTTTAAAAAAGTGTTTTTATTAATCAATAATTTTATATTTATTGTAGGGTATTTAATAGGTGAAAATAAAAAAATTTTCAATTTTAGTTGATGGTATATGAATGCAATATATACAGAGTTCTGTTTTTACGGTTTGCCTTTGAGCTTTGAAAACCTAGTGCCGCGGCCCACCGTTCACTGATTAAAGCCAACTAGCAAAGCAATTGACTGATTCAGCATTCAAGCAAAGCAATATGGTACCACTTGTAAATATTCATGTTGTTTCGTTTGTGTATGCGGTTCCATTTCTTTTTTCTTTTAAATTTTTTCTCCTTTTTGTTGAATAGAAGAACTTGGCTTGGTTGTAATCTCGTGACCTTAGGTCCTTTATTTAAGTGAATATAAGGATAAAGTTAAGGTAAGCCACTTCAATTTTCAATATACTTTGTTTTTTCAATGTTTATGATTTTATTGTACAATTTGTGTTATGATTTGCAATTACTTATCTATCTATCTATATATAATATTGTGCAATTTGTGTTATGATCTTCTAGTTTTTTTTATTCATTCTAATATTTTACATGATATAATTTATAATCTTTATTTTTTTATTCATGGTAATTTTATGTCATGAAAAATTGACAAGTAAAATTTTAAAAATAAAAATAAAAATTTATTTTAGTTTTATGTTTTTAAAATTAATAAATATAAATATAATTAGATGTTGAAATATTTATGTTATGTTAAATTTTTTTTTTCTTCAATTATGGTATGCGCTTTGTACCCTCGGCCCCCCAGTTAAAAATCCTGACCCCGCCCTTCATCGCCTGCACAAAAATATTGCTCTTTGAATTTCAAACACTGCTTTCTCTTCTTCCCAGTTCCTTCATTCCTTTCTTTCGTTACTCCCAAAAGAGAACGTTTCTCTTTTCATCTTCTTGTCTTACCAATGCAGAGGAATGTTAGAACCCTTTTTTCTTCTTTTTGTTTGAAACGCAGCATGTTAAAAGTTAAAACCAAGAATATACGATTGACTGTCCTCCCTTCTTTGAGATTGTGGGGAAATAATCATGTCAAGAGTTTTCTCTTGGGCCTGGTACTTTTAGGCCTTTGATAAATGTTTGATGCCTTTGTTGTGGTGAGTAACTGAGAATTGCTGTCTATGGGCTGATTCTTTTGGGAACACAAATTTTCACCCAGTGACTGATGATTTGTTGATTCCAAAGTTACCAAGTAATTCAGTTTTTGGGCTGATTAAGCCCACTTCTCCGGCCCAATTAAGCTCATTGTCAAATCTTCTCCCTGGTCCCAGACGATGGCCCGCTACATTTAGTAGCACATGTACCAGGCCAACGTTTTGTGACTGTTATGCACGATCATTCACCCAAATGAGAAGTGACGCCTTGCATAAACAGAGACATGGCCCCACTCAAATTTCTGTGGTGGAAGAGGGACATGGACTGCCATATTTAGGTGATCTTCCCTCATGCTCATTTAGTTCAGTCCCCTTCAAATTATAGCTACGGTCTGACGTCCCACTCCATACCAATTATTCACTGAGAAATTTAAGAAACAACTACAACAAACAGGACAATAACGCAGCGCGTTGCTTTCAGTGAAGCATCAAATGGACCATCCCAATAAGTAATACAATAGCCCATATGTCCTTATCAGACGTCAATTCCATTCTTCGGCCTTCATAACTGAATGGCGTTAATTCCTGGAAGCTGCATCTGAACTGAGAAGTAGCCCGTTCGTGGTAAGAGAAAATCACCTCACAAACTGAAGGCCTTCTCCCCTTCGTCAGTTATTCATAAAATCAAATGACTGCCTTCATGTAATTGCATTACAAAGAAATCCAATGCTCGCATGCGTGTGATCTGTTCAACACTTAGTCCGTACGGAGAATATAAATTGTCAATCAACTGATCAACTCTCCACAGGTCTCTTTTACTGCGTTTGAATACGATGCTACTTTTTGGTTGGCCTAGTTTCTTTAATTTCCCTTTGTCCTTTTCCTTTTTCTTTTTTCTTTTTTGGGTGTTATGTGGTAACTTTAAGGACCGGACAGTCTGCTTGTTATCATCTGCGGTATATAATTCACCAAAGCAATTAGATACACGGATTTGCTAATTCTGGTTTAAATAATAAACAAACGAGCTAGATAGGAGCTCAACGGTTGCTGTACTTGGCTGTTGCACTGGTTTTGACTCATCTAAAGTTAATCTTGTGCAGAAAAACTTGCTCATAATAGGTTGATCAGTTTGAAAATATATATAGAGTGACAAATATGGATGTGATGAAGCTACAAATAAAATTTTGCTTATATATTACATCAACATATATAGTTTGAAAATATTTATATCATAAAAAACATGCATGTTTGGAATATCTGTTTGCACCTTTTGATAATGTGCTGATCACTCTGACAAGTGTGCAGAATTGATATAGTAATAAGTTCAGAGTATTCTAGATTGAACCTAAGAGAGAATAGTAATATATCTTTGTTATTTGAACACAACAAATGATAATCTAATTGGAAAACTAAATAATGAATAATAAAACAACAAAAAGAAATAATTGGTGATTCACTCAATAAGAAGCACTAAGAATCGGATTCACCTACCGAGATGTCATACTCTTGCTTACCAAAAAATATTCATGTTTAATTAAAGCAACAATTGTTACGAAAGTGATTTAATTATCTTTCAGTAGATTAAGCTGTATTTATTAATGTTTAATGAGTTGTCACTAAATTTTAAGCCTTTAGCTAAACTATTAGGACATGATTAATGTTGCAATAAACTCCTAAACTATTTCTAATCTAATTATTTATTATTACTTCCCTAAGTCCAAGCTTGCTCTTCTCCTTTCAGTTCATCAAACAAGCCCACAGACAGTGAATATATTGGTCAAATGTAACCTCATAATTGAAGAATAAAATAAATAAATAAAATTTAATAACCTCTCTCAAAGAGTCATAGAACGACAAAACCAAAACAGTAAGAATAAAATCAAATACAAAAAAAGAGTAGAAACATCACAATTAGGCTACTTCCTTCCTTGATTGAAAATTTAGAAACCAAATGATGCACTCTTGTCTGCGCATAGATGGGAGGTGAGGTGAGGTCCCTTTTGTTGTTTGTTTCATCTGTGCACGGATGTCTTTGTTGTTGGTGTATTCATGCTTGGACGAACTTGAGGTGAGAGATCTCCTTCAATTTTCACTCATCCGCTCGTGGTTGAGTCCTTACATGGTTCATCAACACCTAGTTAAAGGTTTTTGAGCTTATTCGTGGACTTTGAAATAAAGTCTCTTGTTTTAATAACCCTATTTTTGGGTCAATTTTCCTTTCTTTCTTGCATTTTAACAAATAATGACTTGGTGAGATTACATGCATTGTTTTTTTTCCTTTAATTCTGTCACACCCTGAAAATAGAAGGTAACTGGCAAGGGTGTGAACTATATCACGTATTTTTGAAGCCTCAAAATATAAATTCCTTTCATTGTAAAAAAATAAATAATCAAACAATATGAAAATTTTAACATTTTAATACTAATTGTCATAGCAAAATTTTAACATTTTTGTAGAAATTTCAATAGAATTTCTCTCATAAATAGGATCTCTTGAAAATTCCACAACACAAATTGTAAAGAAATATAATATTAATCAAGAGCTTAGCTCCTTTCAACTAGTAAATAGTATATAAATCAAAATAAAGTTTTAGCAACAATCTATGTGGAGCAACTAATCTTTCATCTAAATTAAAATACATAAAATTTAAACATTTACATCAAAAGGTGACAATACTGAATAAAATTTTCACCTAATATAACTATATTGTCTTTCAGAGGTCAGCAGTAGGATCAACGTTAGATAACAAATCTCAGACTAAAATAAATTTTTTAGTGAATAGCATCCCTAAAGATAGAATTTAAAATAATAATTTCAATCAAATTTTGTAAATTAGTGGGAAGGATGAGAATTCAATATAATATACTCAATAACTTTATAAATCTTCAATATAACCATCAAAACGAGATTAAACCGAAAACACTGAAAACACTTTATATCATCATAGTAGAAGAAAAATAATTTATACATATGTAGATCGAAATAACATATTAGCAACTAAAATTATTAAAATTTTAAATATATAAATTTGTCCAAATTTAGTATTGTGAGGACTTAACAGAACTGATAACAAATGTGGACACACAGTCCACGAAGGTAAAATAACCAAACACAGCTTATGCCACAAGAACAAACATGGACACACAGTCCATGAGGGTAAGTAACCAAACACAACTTGAGCTACGAAACAAATGTGAACACATAGTAAATGTGACTCAAGCCATGAAAACCAAAGGAGGGTACGAAGTTCACAAATAACAAATGTGAGAATAAAGCTCACGAAACAAACTAGCTAGTTATTAACCATAGCGTGCCATGGGCTAACGAAACTGCCGTTAGCAGCAGCATTCTGTCTAGAGTCCTCTTAAAATTCACACTTCAAACATATGAGAGAAATAATTATTTTTAAAATAAAATTTTTATTCTCAATATCAAACTCGCATGAATTATTTCAAATATATAAAACTTGCCAATTTAATACATCAAAGCGACTATACAAACTTGCATTAATTGTGTAACCAAGAAATTTTAAAATTCAATAAACAAAGATGCCTTCATCAATATTAAAAAAATATATTTTTTAAGAAAAAATAAATGCACATATCATAATATAATTGTACTTCATCATTGTTCCAAAATTTCTAAAACTAAAATAATTCATAAAAATAAAATATTTCAATAAATGATTATTAATAAATAATTAAATGGGATGTTATTTATTTATATGAAATCTCTAGAATTCAAGTTTTTCCTTTCAACTTTGATCAAAATTCTCCTCTTGCAAACTCCTTATAAATCATACTAAAATTTTATTTAACCCTCAATCAGCATAATAATTCTTTTTTCCAACTTCACTCACCACCAATATTAAACTATAATACATTTGATTTTTTTTTAAATCCTCACTAGTATTTGGTCAAGGCACCAAACATAAATCACTTTCAATTTACTCATAAAAATGCTAGCATTCAATATTTCACTAACAACTATCTATCTTCAAGAATTCAAAAATTACATTATAAATTTCATAGACAAATATTTTTGTTCCAACATCCGAATTAAATTTCATACTTCCCACAAGAATTAACAAATCTCCATAAATATTTAAAAATTAAGTTCAATTCTGCTAACAAGTACTTCAACAACCATCTTATAGTCATCATTCTTCAAGTTTCATATCTCATCTCTTTTAACATAACCCTAACCAATTCTTCATTGTCAACCAATTTAAACAAAAGATGAATTTAACTTAAAAGTTGACCCATATGTATATTATTATCAAGCTTTAAGATAATTTCTAGCTCAAATTTGAATTTTCCTCTTCCTTAAAACAGTACGGGTAACAGCAAAATACACACACTAAGAATTATGTAACATCAACCATTTATTCAGTTTTTCACGCACAGAAACAATTTGAAATGGGCAGGCTCAATACTTCTTTGCCTCCATTAACATTAGCTTACACGAGAAGAAAAGGAGACAACGGATGTAGGGAAAAATGACAGCAAACAATCTATGAACCTCCCACAGCCACTAATCAATTCTCACAGCACAGATTCTTCAATGATCAAGAGAAAAATTCAAGGCTTCTACCTTAAATAGCTCACATCACACAAACAGAACAAGGAGGAGGAAATCTCGTGTATGAACAATGAAAAATGAAGGCCTATGTAATCACACTAATAGCAAGGAAAAACTATCTCACGACACAAACTTATACACTTAATTATTATTATTATTATTATTATTGTTATTATTATTATTGGGCTTATTACAAATTTACCACAATTAATTAACAAATTTAAATCCAAATGGCCCAAAAATTAACATAAATAATAGGTTCATCACGTGCCACTGCTGCACCGAGTGGTAGTTGTGATGAAGAAAACATTTTAGACCTACCAAAATCGTATATACAGGAAACAGAGAAAGAGCTCAGGGCAGTGAAATAAGCAGAAAGAAATTAGTCACTTAATGAATAGGGAAAAAGGGTAAGGTGTACGTACAGGAGGCACATTGATTCTTAATACCATTTGCAGCCACTATCCAAGTTACATGTGTTGTGCATGAATAATAAAGAAATTCTACATAAGACAAGCTATGCGACCCACTTGTATTTGTATTTAAAGACTCTGTAAAAACCATAGTCCAAACTCCAAACCGCTTCCTCTGCTTCATCATCCTCTCCTCCAGAGTCGGCGACTTCGTCCGAACCTTTTCATCAATAAGCCACGATGTTTAGTACTAATTCTAAAGCTGATCATGATGATGAGTTTACCCAGAAGAGCAGAAATTCTGCTTCCTTCCAAATCAAGCAAGATGATCAGTTCTTCTGTAGGCTTCTTTCAAAAGAAAGCTCTCTTTCTTGCCAATCTTTCAGAGTCTCGCTTGCTATTCCTTTTGAATGGGAATCTGAACCGGGCACCCCAAAGCGTCCTTTTTCTGAAACTCCCTTCCCTACTCTGACTCCTCCACCTTGCTACTATATCAAAACTGCTATGAACATGAACTCCGACAAACAGAAGGTGAAGAGGCGATCAAGATTCAATCTTTTGAGGACTCTTGTCAACGTCATATTATGTATGTGCTAGAATCAATTGCTTAAGTTGATCTAATTAGAGTTAAAGGGCTATGTCTATGAATTCATTTTCTATGTTCATTCACGCTTTATATAAAGTGTGAACTCTGTTTGTAACAATTAAGAAGATGTATCTTTCCTTGCTAACTTGAATTTTCGAAGCTTCTGCAGGTAGATACGGGAGTGCGGATATACATCATAAAATTATTTAGCCATAAAATTGGCAACATACATATGCAGCCCTGGGAGGGAGTGGGATGAAGGAGAGGAAGAGGAAGAAACGCCTTTACGGAGCATGTTTTTTATATGTACAGATCTCTTTTTCCGATGTCGATATATAATTCAGTGTGTCGGTTTGCCTGAAGTTAAATGTGAACGTTAGCAAGTTGTTCAGTGTCAACATTCATTTAGAAGCGCAGTTCTCATGTCAGAAATTGTATCGTTGACATTGAATAAGTCACCCCATCTAATATATTCCATTTTAGAATTGCTAAGCGTAGTTTATTCACTAAGTCGGCTGAGTTTACTATTCAAGCACATTATCAACCACAGATCATTTAAGAAAGAAAATTAAAAATGACATTAACAATATAATATGAGGCTTTGGTCTTTATCACGAAGTTGTAATCAACACACTGAACGGACGCTTCTGATGCGCACGTCCGTGGTCTTTCCTTTTCCATTTCACAAATAATACAGGCATACGTAAAAACCTCATGGATGTTCCCATAGTATTGGGCTACTGCTTAAAAATCTCAAAATTTGATTATCCATGGAGTCATGTATTCAGAGAAAGAATAACAAAAAGCATCTCTCTCAATCTTTCTCATATTTCAGATCAGACACAATCATACTTCTCCGTACCACCAGGTTCTCTTTGGTCTTTATTTTTTTTTGATGATTTGGTTGGTTCTTTTGTTTGCTTTGTTGATTAATACATATCCCTTTGTCACCAACAAAACCAAAAAGAAAAAGAAAAGAAAAGAAAAGAAAAGAAAAGAAAAAAGTCATATGCCACGAACAACAAATTTATAATAATAAAGCATATCTATGCTTTTTCTGCATTAATGATCAGTTATGCTCCACATGGCATTTCCTTTTCTACGCTACGCTACCGACGTCTAATGATCTGCGCCTTTCCGTTTGTTGTTTCAGGCATCTTGAGTCGCCAGCTATGTCCTGCTTGTACATTTAATTAGTTAGCTTGCAAGATAGTTAAGCTAGCTGAGTTGCTAATTGCAACTTACACAGTCTGGGATGAAGATCAATCTCTCATAATTCTTACCGCATTGATTACACACTATTCCCTATTCCCCTGTCAATGTGGTGGGGATTGAGTTTAAGAAGGCATTGTATGGAGTGATACAAAAGAAGAGGATTAGAGACTGAGATTGCGGTAACAGAAGGAAAGGAAAGGGAGGGGAGGTACGTACGTGGGAGAGGTATGATTCATGTAATTTGTCGGCAGCAGAAGTGGAAATGATGTCTGAGATTGTCGCATATGTATGCTTGCCATGTGCGGATGTGGGGCCCATCCCTTTCCCTTTGCGTGGCATATCACAAGTTCTCACTTCAATAACCCATCCTGCCTTACCTACTTTCTCAGCTCATCGTCAAGGACGAATCTATTCCTTAAATCTGGTCCCTTGCACATTTTCATGCTCTTTGCAAAATCACTCTGCATGTAGATATTTTAGAAATGATGACAATAAATTATAACTTATATAAAACAACTTGTTCTATATTCCTACTTACAATATGCACACGACGGGTAACAAATTCTAAACCCCAACCCATTGTTATTTAAATCTTCATTCATGTCATGTTAACAAAAAATGATTATTTATGGGGATAACACATATTTTGAAATAACAAGTTATTCTTATCTCCAGAGTATACTCCTTATACTATAAAAAAACAACAAATTATTCTTTACATTTTTAATATGTTTGAAAATAATATAACTAACAAATTAAACTATAAAACAGAAAAAATTGTCTTAATTTCTTTCATTTGCACAATATAATAATTTATTGAATAAAATAAATTATTATTTATATTTGAATACTTGAGGTATCAAATTCTAAAATCAAACAAGTTGTACGTATTCGTGATATTATTTTTTTCTATTATCTTTTATTGTTATATATCAACTTATCATTATTTATGGTTTGTAGAATTAAAAATATTGTTATTATCTATACTTTCAATGTAATAGTTATTTATTTGTAATTGTTTATATGATCTAATTTAACATTTTTTACATACTATTATTTGTTGCAAATAAAATTATTATTAAATCAATTTATACGTGGTATTTAATATCCCGTGTACAGTAATATTTGATGTAAAAGCTAGTTATATACTCCCACTATTAAAAAATATCAGATATTTTTTAAGAAGTTAGATATTAAAAAATATAAGATATTTTTAGTCTTTCGAAGTATAATCATTACCTTTTTTCCAAAAATGCCCCTAATGATAGTGACTTTATATTTATTGTAAAGTGTTTAATAGGACTAAATATAAAAAAATAGGATTAGTTTAAAAGTAGGTAATAATTTTATTGGAGGGTGAGATTTAATTAAAAATATCTTATATTTTTGAATGGAAGAAATGTGTATATATGGAATGGGGGTATGCTTTTATCAAATAATGATGTTGGCATATCATATGTAATACTCCCTTTGATACTATTTATAAGGTAAAATTTTTTTTATTCTATTTATAAGTCACATTGATAAATTTTTATTACAAATTTTTTTTTACCTTTCTAGAGAAAGAAAATATATTATTAGAATATATATATTTAATAGTGACAAAGTTAAAAATTTATTATATTTTAAAATAAAATCAATGAGTTTTAAAATTTTTTATAATACCAATGAAATATTTTAAAAATGATTTATAAATAAAATTAAACAAATATAATGTATACATGTACTATCCTCTTAATTATTAAAATTGGAATGCAGGTGAACTAGGTACATGTTAAACCCCACAGGCTTAAGATCTCATATCAATATGGAAGAAAAGAGCAATTAACGGTTGATGTGACATCCGCACCGGGTTCTCCATCAATTTCATTCGCGTCCCATTCCTACTTGTACTCCACGCTGTTATATAGCTACCCCAATGTTTTTTTATTGGAAAATGTCACTCAAGAAGACAAGAACCGTTATAAACAATTTTGGAAAAATTTCAACAAAAATCACTTGATCATAGTTAATAAAAAAAAAAAAAATACCCGGACCATGCAAGCACAAAATGTATATACCCAAACTATGCAAACAAGAGTTATTCATTTTCCTATTGTTTGTTATTTATTACTTTATATTAAATTATTCATTACCCTACTGTATGCTATTTACCTATTATTTTTAATAAATTTCATTCTATGTGTTATCATCATGCTAACACAAGTTGTTCATTTTCACACATACTATTATTTATTATCTTATATTAAATTGTTCATTACCTTACTATTTGTTTACTACTATAAAATAACCTTACTGAAGTGTTTATTTTTAGCCTTTGGGAGCACTTTATAAGCACTCCTATATCCAGCACTTTCATATATACAAAAGTATTTTATAAAGCGTTCCTGTTGAGGTGGCCTACAGGAGCGCTTTTATAAAATTGCTCCCATATATATTGAAATAAAGTGCTCCTAATGTATGAAGTTACAAGCATATGGAAGTGCTAAGAAAAAGATCATTCCCATATGCTTCATACACAACAATGCTCATGCTAAGAACACTCCTATATGTAGCTTGCTGGAGTACTGTTTTCTTGAGTGCTCCCATATGCCCTTTGTAGGAGCATTTTGTTTCTAAGCGCTTTTATATGTATTTTTTTTAAAATTTAAATTTTTTGAAACTTCCTCCAATATCTCCTAAAAATTACTAATGGCAATATTAAAAATCAATCTAGAAACAATATTGACTAATGAACATCAAATTTGTATACAATGAAAGAATTTGAAAATAAAACAATTACTTTAATTTTCTAATTTAATTAGTCTGATCTCTAGCTAATCTAATAAATAAAACTATTTGTATTATTATTATATGTTAGAATGAGCCTTTGGATGCTGGGCTACATTAAGATTAATATATCACTGCTCCCAATACAAGCGTTCAGTTTTATATATACATGTTTGTTTTTTTCACTTCATAGAAAGATATCTGCATCATCAAAATTCAGAAGACTATTAGAATAGGCAGGGTAAAAAAAGCAATGCCCAGAGATAGCACTTATCAGCTTATTGCAATAAACTTGGATTGTATTATAAAAGAGGATATATATCATACATTAATACTGTGCTAAGCACTTGGCATAATTTGCATTCAACTAATATCTTTAAACCTCAAAATTAGAACCCTAAGCTAACTAAAATGTACACTTGAATAATTGCTGACATGGGACAGGGTAAAGAAAAGCAAGTAAAAAATTGGTCACCTGACTTTTTTTGTTTGGATGCTTCTCGACCCAGCCAATAGATTGCTCAATCTTGTCATCTACCTTCTTTTCAAGTTCATCTTTTCCACTTTACGCCTATGCAGGAAAAGGTAAAGTTAAAAAAAAAAAAGGAACTAAAATATAGGAAGATATGAAGAACAAGAAGTTTCTCCAGTTGTCGACTGTTTAACGCATTAAGAACTGGGAAATTTACAAATGATCGAAGAGGAGAAGCCACTTCCTAGAACCTAAAAATAAAGGTATACGAAGGAGAATGAGGAACCCCATTTATATAGATTAGAAGGGAAAGCGGCTGAAAATTTACAAATTAAATATGTATATCAAATCATGCCCAAGGATCAAAATCGAGCAACAACGGCAACGGAATAGAAACATTTCTTGCAGCTGATATATTACGTACTTAATTAGATGTGATTTTCTAAATGTCTAACGTACTTTTATTTATAAAAAAATTCATATTGTGAAAGAGTGTAAACTTATAATTTCTGATAAAGTATAAATAATATTATGGACGTTTTTAGGGTTAGTTACATATAATAATAATAGTAATAATTATATATGTATATTTAAGCAATTAGAGGCATAACTAAACTGCATGACAAAGTTCAGAAGAAAGAGTGGCATATAAACGCGGTAGGAATTGTTTTTGGGTTGCTCATAACATTTGAACTGTGAGGAACCGCGCGTGTCGCATTGAACTCAATCAAGAGAGCAAAAGATAATACCTTGCTCTTTCACAATGAAAGATCATATATTCTTGCTTCCCCGAGTGGTGTTTACACTGTACAGACGTGTACATGAAATGAGTTGAAGGAGTTTGGTAGCCAGCATAGTGGACGATGTTGCAAAGTTTGGTATAAAAACGAAAGTCGAGGAAGCAAAAGTGAGCAACACCAAGCAAAGTCAGTGCAAAATGGAGAGTTTATATTTTTGCACACTGGAAGGGAGATGGGTGGAGGTTGTAGAGGAATACAAAAGCAACGCAGGGATGCACAAGAGACCAATCA